ATTGTATAACCGTCTTTTGTTCACGAATCTGGCTCAGTGCACTGCTGACCTCTTTTCAATAGGGGCCAGATTAGCATGCAACGGTGCTGTGTGGCTCATCGCTGCGGTGGTGGAGCGCTTTTGTCCCCGGTGGTAATCCGCTCACTCTCAATGCCCCAAACCCTGGTATACGGTTTCAAAAAAAGGCTGGATTATCACCACTTTTGAGAGTGAAAAATGTCGGTAATGCCCAGCAGCCTGGTCTTTTGTTCGGAGTACAGTCTTTTGTGACAGGGCCCTGTTTCCTTTGTCTGAGTTCGGAGACCCTGGCCACCTATATAAACCATACGTCTCCGATCCCGGAGTCCCCGGCAGGAAGTGGTTAATATTGAATTTGTTCCTCCAATTGCACTCTGTGAACAAAGTGCCTCTTTGAATCCAATTCCAGCTCTTCCTTTTGTGGATATTCAGCTGCTGTAGCACATCACATCTGGAGTCAACAAACTCATTCGTTGCACGGAGCTGATAAATGCCAATGAAAAATTTATATGTGTTTTTTCTTTATACACCACAGCCTCGTAAGAAGAGAGGACTGGCCTCTCGGCTGTCCGGCTACCCAGACGAGGCTAGCAGGCTACCACACCCCAAAATAGAAACAAACACATTCAACAGGGCCTGTGAAGTACCAGGAGGGGTCACTTCAGTTGAGGCAGCAGAAGAGATGGACAGCACTGCTCAGGAGAGTGAAGATGTGTTGGATGCAGCTCCTACAGTTACCATGGAGACATCGGGGAGCGATGCAGGAGACAGAGAGGGGAAGGCAGAAGTACGAGAGATGGAGGATGATGGATACCGGGGTTCAGTGCATCTTTAGAAGCGGAGACCATCAGTGAATGAGATGGAACCGCTTGTTGGAAATGCTCTTCGACTCAAAAGTTGTCGAGTTGTTCTGTTGCAAAAAACTTACATAACAAGGTTATATTTATGTGCGCAGTTGACTCCTCATATGCAAAGCAGTGGCTAAAATATTCAGAGCAAAATTCTCAGGCTTTTTCTACAAATTGTCAATTTTTTTCACGATAAGGGTCTGTTTAGAACAGGATTATTCAGCTGGTACAAGCAGCATCTCGTGATGAAAGGGGACTGTGAGTCAGTGTTTCATTTGATTTCCCATGTTAATGTGTGAAAATGCTTCCAATGACGTCAGATCTTCAATGGAACAAGTCACATGAGGAGGTTTGAACTCAACCTTTTCAGAGTGACCAACGTTTACGGTAAAAGCTCAGGAGCATGATGGAGCATTTTTACTAATAAATTTGATGTGCTTGCCAGTCCAAATATATTTTACGTTTGAAGATGGTTTGTAACCTGTACATACATTTCAACAACGTGTCATATACCGTTGACGTCTCTGGACTATTTATTGTGTCTCTGAAGATAACAACCACAGGTGATTACTGTTGAGTACTATACAACCAGACCAAAGACACACGGTGTAAGTCTAGATTGTTTCTTTATTGTCTGTTCCTGCTTTTCCTCGGTCAAGCTTACTCCTGTGTACTGTAGCAGTCTTTGCTAAGTTTTAAAGGGACCAAAAATAGTGTCTGATGCACTTCCCAATCCTTTTCTCCCATGGCCTGCATGGCAAAGATGAGCTAAGTTCAGAGTAGACATTCTTACAGATGAATTCAGCTTGTTTTCACTTGGTAATCCCGGTGGTTCCCATTAATGGTGGACAGCATTGCATTCAGCTTTTGTTCAGAGCAGGAGCTCTCTTTAGTAATCATACCAATGGTTACTGCCACTGGCGGGGGCCACTACAAATGACTTGTGTAGCATGCCCATGGTCACCAGAGATGTCTGAAAGAGAGCCTTTCTCGTAAAGAGCCTGCAGAAGGTGCTCTGTAATGGGTAGGCATTCGTTCTGTTACACTCAAGTTCATATCCATTTTTGCAGCAATTTACCTGTTTTTATTCTTTGGAATACATGTAGTTGAACACTATTGAGGGACATCCCTAAATGGGATACATATACATGTATTTCCCCTTAAGGGTACAAGTATGCATTAGTGTCATGTACTCCAAGGTAGATGTTGAATTTTTTTGACTTTGAATCTGATGAAAACTTTGATTACTGTTCATTATTCCTCCTTAGAATATTACGACGTACTCGGGGTTGACTCGTAAGTTCTGGTATTCTACTGAACATGTACTTTACACCATGTGCAGAAAATCCACACAAGCTGACTTGAGACAAATTCATTCCCTAACTTTGTTGCAATTGGGATGATGCCAGTCCAATAAACCCTTAATCTGACATCTCATCTGGTTTTATTTTGTTTTGTTTCTTTTGATTCAAGGGTGAAGTTATCAAGCAAATCCTTCTTGACCTCCTTTTTTTATCCTGTTCTCAAGTTCTCAATTTTCTAGGAGTTCACTGATACAGCATTGCCTGGGTGGCTGCATTACTCACAGTCATGTGCTGGTGCATTTTAGCTTCAGTTCATTTTTGTGTTCACTTAGCACCCTTCACCCTTGGGCTTTCTCATCCATTCCAGCAGTTGCCTCTCCCTCCCCTGCTCCCTGTCCGGAGTCTGACGTCCCCCCTTGGGGTTGCTTCATACTCTCATCTTTGTTCTTCTGCTTGACCAGGGCCGCCTTCTCTTTGGCCGACATGGGCCTGAGAGTCACGGTCAGGTTCATTCCATCCTTACCCACCTCCCTGGGCTTGCTGGCAAACGTCACTCGATCCTCCAGGCCAGACATGAGTTGACCAATAATGACCAACTAGGAGAAATCAGAAACATGACAGGGAAGAAAAGGTTTAAAGACATTAACTGCAATCTAAAGATGGAAGACAAATGGTTGAATTTCTGTGGCCAATTCAAAGTATCAGCAAAGATCAGAATATTGAAACAGCAAGAAATTCAAGAAAGTTCACTTCTATTAAATGTTTTCAAGATAAATTTTCCAGCTGATTTTGGTCTACTCAAAGCCCTTAACTGTTCACGCAAGACAATTTGCCTAGCTATCTTGTGAAGTTTTCTGTACACAATTGAACTGTCCACTGGAACTTCTCACATGGAGTACCTGAAATCACAGAGTGAAGTCACTTGAGGGTGAGAATTTAGTGGCAAACCACTCACCTTCTAGCCACAGAATTCATTTTTATGATCACCAATCTGTGCATTGAGATTTCCAAATAGACATTTAGATAGTAACCATCTTCCTATGAGGAGCACAGAATCTTAGAAATAGCAATGGGGGTATGCATGTGCACAAACCGGATGTTCTTGTTAACCAGCAAAAACATGCTACCATAAGTACAACTTTTATTTGCAGTAATTAGAAAAGGTTTTTCTTCTGCTCGCTACTACAACAGTACGCAGTAAGCAGCATGATCCTGGTAGTTGCAGAACAGGAACAAAATGTATTCCTGTTGACTGCTTAAGCCCATATTCAAATACCAGGTTTTTCATGTGTATTTATGGTAGAAATGGCATTTCCAAACTGAAAGTTCAAAGCATTTCCACTTTTTGAACTCTTGCTAACATCCATCTGGGTCCGCACCTGCTGTTCCTTGGAGACAGGCTTTTGCCGTTTCCTGGCCCCCATCAACGTGACCTTGACGTGGACCTGTGCCCCACCCTCCTCGAACCAGTCATGCATGTGCCGCCGCTTGACCTCTAGGTCGTGCTTCTCAATGTTACCCGACAGCCTGACCTCTTTGACCTGCGTGGGGGCACTTTTTGCCTTCAGTTTCTCCCTCAGCGACATCTGTTCCTGATGAAGTTGCTGCCCAGTCATCAGTCTGTGAGAGAAATGAATCAAGCACGGATCTCTGGTGAGTTTAGAGTGCCTCATAACTTGATGCTTAATTGCAGAGATTGCAAGATGAGAATTCAAGTGGGTAGAGCATTACTCAGCATGTATCCATGATAACTTGGGTGGAGCGAGAAATTATTATTCACGTTATTTGACGAGTAGCATACTTTACATACTAGCTATTTAGTTTTAAGTTTCTCAAGTTTTCTGAAAATAAAACTTGCACCATGACAATGAGTTCATACCGAGTTGACCAGTTTGAAGATTCTCCCATTAATGCTCAAAAGTTTATGAGTGTTTGTTCTAACACCTACACTTGTCCTCCACACCCCATCCACTCAAAAGGGCAGTAAAGTCTGTGAACTTATATTTCAAGAAGCAAACTACAATTTAAATGAAATAAAAGAAAATTTTTAACAACTCTACTTGGTACCTATAGGTGGGATATGGCTTGCTGTTTGGGTTGATCAGTACCAGTTTGAGTCTGGCTTCTTGACTCCGCTTGATGGCTTCCTTACGGTGAAGTGGTCCCAGTGATACCCCAGCCTCATCCAGGAGGGTGACTATTTTGTCTGGGACTAATCTACCGACACTCTTCATGGTGTCCTACATTGTGGGGAAAAAGTTTCAAAAAAGAGGAAAATCCATGACTGTAATTTACTGTAGACAATGAGTCACATTACAGTACACGCGCTTTATCTAATCTTAGGAAAAAGTAAATTATGCTTTGGAAGAATGAGAAATTAGCATTAATCGACAAAAATTAACCAAGGAACATTCCAAATATAACCAGAATATGGTGAAGAGTTTATTCTTCAAACTAAAGATTTCCAGCGGTAAAAAAATAAAGAAGTTCCACACAGATTCTGTTGACAACATTTTTGAACCCCACTCCACAGTGTGTACATTTACAGCATGATATTCACCCACCAGTAATTTTTGCATTCATCCCGAGAAAACTTGATCATGGTCAAAACTATTTATCACAATCCATGTTGCAGACATTTGAAGCAGCACACAATCATAAAACACACACGGAGTCGTTCTATAATTACTGGCATGTGCAAAAACACTTGTTAATACACTGATTTTGATCAAAAACATTGTTGGGATGGACAAATGTCCGCACGACTTGGTCCTAATTTGCTTGACAAACAGACAAATTGTCCTCTTTAGGTGCAAAGGCCTGCCATGAACGAATTTAATACCTTCAAGCTATCTGAGGAAGACTTTCCTTTCCAAGACCTTCTGGGACCTGTTCCTTCTGCATCCAGTTCTTTGGCAACCTCCTCAAAGGAATCCTCCTCAAGTGAGTCTATTTGGTCAAGCGGTGTGTCGCTGCCCGATTCTGAAGACAAAGACCGGAGGAAAACTGCCGTTTTTGTCATACTCGTTGGCTTGGTGAAAATGGAGTCCCATCTCCGGTGATGGGGGATGGGTCCTGCTGAATACGTGGTCCTGGCGAACCCAAGCCAAATTGGTTGATGAGGGATGATACGGTTCCTATGGTGACGACTCTCATAGCAACAGCAAACAGGTTGATGGTGCTGTGTAGCTTCCCCAACAGCATAATGCAACCTCCGTGCCCTAGATGACACCACTCGCTGCATCAACAGTTTGGACATGCCAGAAATTAGGTAACAGGCTGCACCATTCTGGACAAATCAAAATACTCAAGAGTTAAACGTCTGCAGAAAGTGCAAGTAAACAGAGTGCTTTTTGTTTCTCAAACACATTTAACAAGCCGGAAAGTCTCTCCATCATTGGTCTACCAGTTGGGTGGGATCATCTGATCATCTGTCGATCCGGTGAGAAATCTTCGACTTCACTTTCTTCCAAGGGCATGAATTTAATAGGAAGACTATGTGATCAGCTAATGATACCACAATCAACAAATAAGGACCCGATAGGACATAGGTGAAGCTCAATAGCACACATCAAGTCTTTGTGCCAAACAACTTGCAGTTGTAAAACATTCTATAAATCCTTTCTTTCATTAGTTTCACTACAAACACCCACTGGCACTTATTTTCAAGGGATACGCTCTGCGTGTATAAACTTAAAATTTTTTTTCGATGACTTAGGCAAATTGGCACAAGTTGATCTCATAAAAAACTCTTTTTACTCTCCCAATATATTAACATGCTTAAACAAAGAGAACTTGCCAAAAATTGTTCAAGTAGCTCGGACTCCACAAAGATAAAACAAACAACGAACTGTCTAAAGACAAAAAATAATATCAGAACCTGAGGCTCTGAGGATGAAACCTATGTGCCACCGGCACCATGGTGCCACTGAATCTGAGCCTGAGTTTGGCGCGAGCAAATAAACCTAACGCAGCGGTGCGATCACTACGTGTTTACATGTAATCTGATTGAGAATGGCTCCTAGAAAATTCAATTAGATATGCATATACACGTCTGGGAGCCAGTCTCATGCAGTGAACTACTCGTGTAAAACGGGCGACCCACCAACTCACTGCCGAGAATCACTTAAATGTTAAGCGAAAGAGCGCTTGAAAAGGGCTCTGGAAGATGCTGCAGTTGTACTAGATTTTGGTGAGTTGACAGGACTACTTCAGTTTTCAAAGAGATCGAATTTGCATGCAACATCAGTGCTGGCTAGAGGCCTCAACTTTGTGCAGACTTTGTAAACCAAGAGGGCGCTGTTTTTTTGCGTGCCGCCAAACTTCAACGTTGCCACAAAGCTCAATTTTCAACAAGTGAGCCCATCAATGTCTCATTAAAAGCGAGCCTCACAATTTCACAAATGTGTTTATGTTTGCTACATGTAATACCAACCCAGACCCAAGTGTTTATTAGGGGTTCAAAATTAGCGGGCGCAGGTAGCTAAAAAGCACCCGTTTGTCTCATAAATGGCCCCTACATTTTTAAACAAAAGGGAGATCCCAGCAAACACTTAGGCGTGATGCTGTGAAAACATTTTTTGAAGGTCGGGCCGATGTTGTGACTAAAACGATTCGAAATGTCATTTTAATTACAGCATACCAGTAGAAACATTATGTGAATCACAGAAATGTCGTAATAACATTATGTAAATTATGTAAATGCGCCCTATTTGATGTTTTATCTGACATTAAATTGATGTTAGTGCCTAGGCCTGTCTAATTTTTTTTAACAGGTTTTATAGCGAAAAACAAATATTGCTAATGTTGTATTTTTATGACATTATTTAGAAGTTATAAAATTTGTTTGCCTATGTTTTGAGAATGTTACCTGCACGTGTACATGTATCTATGGCAGTGCTTAAGATGTTTAAAAGCTGTTATTATGACGTATGATGTGGTGATATTGATAACGTTCTTGCAGCCAGGACTAGTAAGCCCATAGGCCTAAGCCTACTGGAACTCTGTAATACACATGACTGAATCTAGTACTGTAGTAGGGAAGAGTTCCATATATGGATGCCAGAAGCAAAAACATGGCCAGAAAAGTTCAATTTAGGAGGGAAAATATGAAATTGTTAATTAGAAAACACTTGGAATTTTTCAGAACTGATCTCATAGGGTTTATGCACGGGGTGTCAAGTGATATCCGTATTCTCTTTGTTGGCATGACGTCACTATGGACTAAGGGAGAAATTTACCCTTTTTGCACGTATGTTGGTGCCCCATAGAGACAACGTTAATAACACGCGGGCATGCACACTTCATTTTCAAGCAGATAACAACAGTTTTTCGTGCAAGCAGACGACGTCATGGCATGGAATTTTTCAATGACTGACCGCGTAAAATACCAAATTTTAGAAGCATTGATAAATGTTGGGATGGTCTACACAACACACAATACTCCTCCATCGGTTAGATTTTTGAATTATGGTAAATCTCAGAACAGTATAAAAAGTGTATTTTAGGGACCCATTCTGACCAAAAAAATTGAAATTTCTAAAATTTGCAATAACTTCATCAATGAATTTTTTTTATAGAAAATTAGTTTTCTGAGACAAAATCTAGCACCAAATAAGAGATTCACCTTTAATGCTTTCAGGCATTTATTTTGAATCAGCCAGATAAAATTTTTAATAATCAGGTCACCCCAAAATCGTATTGGTTCAACGGTGCACGAAAATTCAAAGCCATTCTGTAGCCATTTTTATTATCAAAATGGTATATCCAACACAGGGATGAGGATTTGTACAGATTTCATGAATACTGATACCATTTCATAAGGTAGAATCATTAAATTAGTGATATTTCCTGTGCATCACTTCCACTGCTGTGGACAATGACCGGTGCAGTACTGAGACGTCAAAGTCGTCACGGCTGCCCCAGCACACGTGCATGAACATGTACATGTCACGCATACACATGTAAACACGCATACATGACTGCATTTAACCCATGACTCGCTACTACAAGAATGTTACTCAAAGTCTGCCCTTAGAAGGGTGCAAGGGTATCCTCTTTTTTGTGAGAAGTTTGACAAAGCAATAATTCTTGACTCTAAGAATTAATTTTTTTTTAGGACATACAGTTTTTTAGATGAGATATTTGACATGTTTTTCATTGCAAAATGTCTGGATTCATACGATTTGTAATTCGCGGAAAGTCCCTTGGTTACTTAAAACCTGCAGTGGAATTCTAAGAATCTCACAAGGGTGCCCTCTTACAATCTGACACCAGATGTGGCTTCAGAGAAGTGCAAAATGTTGAATGTTTACAAATGTGTATTATCAGTGCTTACAATTAACCGAAAAAGTGAAATGCATTTTATTAATTGAAGAGGATGAGATTGCAGAAGAAGTGTGTCAACAAAGTCTACAAAAGAGTGTTGCTGCTATCCTTTAAGCAAAGTTCCATGTCTGATCAAGAGGGAGGAGAAAGTACCTCAAGGCCCTATCCTTCGGGATGCAAAAGGAATGACTTCCCCCCCCATAAAAATTGTGCACTTCTCTGAAGCCACATCTGGTGTCAGATTATAAGAGGGCACCCTTGTGAGATTCTTAGGAGCATTCCACTGCAGGTTTTAAGTGACTGAGGGACTTTCCGCTAGCTGCAAGAAATCCACCTGCAGAGGCAGGACAAATAATTTCTGTGGAGTATTAACGAGTCACTTACATGTACATTACTTTTTTACAATTTTTAGTCCAATGTAAATTCTCAACAGGTGGTTGGCCATGGCTTGGGCCATCACCTGCTAGGGATGAGCAGTCAGCATTGGTAAGGCTGGAACAGCCATTATAGTGCTTTGGGCTGCATGGGGCAGGTTCCCAATTCCTTTTCACTGAGTACACATATTGGATTGTCTCTACATACACGTACATGTACATGTACTCAGCCCAGCCACAGCATCACTGCACTCAGTACATGATATGTGCACGTTCATGTACATGTACAGTATGTGTCCTGCGTATTGGCCAATTGCCAAATTACTCTCGAGCGTTGCCTTGTGCGGCACTTTCTGATACCACTTTTGAAAATAATATGATTCCTCTTGTGTGTGGCATGCACAGCCTACGGTTTCTGGTCAAGAGTTGAAAGCCAGGCCAAGGCAGCCTCGGTCACTTTGAAGAATATTTTCTCTGTAGAAATTCCAAACAAAGCGTTGAAAGTTGTCCGAAAGCGGTAGCACCAGGAGATACAAAGTACCTATACTGCAGTCTCTTCTAGCTGTTGCCAGTTCCAAACTTGAAACCAGTAAATTAATAATTTCGTTTTTCATGGGAGAAATTACCTGTAGGTCCGACTTTGGAGAAATTACCTGTAGGTCCGGCTTCTCAGGACCTCATCCTCCTTCTTGTATATTACAGGGGCAGGTAAAGGAATTTTTCCAGAGGGAAGGGGTCGGGCCAGAGGTTTTTTCATGTCTCAATTTTGCAGACAAGCAGAAACGATGATGAAACATAATGCCTGACATAAATTATTGAAAAGGGTATCTGCGCTGTCTTAGGTTGTTTTTTTTCCTCGTTTTCTTTTGTTTATGAGTTGGTTACATTGACTTTGCTTTGTGTAATACTCTCCTGTAGATTCTCTAAGTGTAAGCCACCATGTTGCAACCCATTATGTCTGAGCTGTCAGCAATGAGGATTGTCTTGGCAAGTGGATCTCCAAGACGCAGACATATGCTGAGCAGTATCGTAAGTTGTGTTTATGTCCACGTGCCTCGAATTTATGTGCATCAAACTTGTGACGACAGAAACTCGTAACTCTGTTTTGGTTTGTGTAGAGTCTGTTTAAATAATAATAAGAACACTGTATATATAGAACATATATTTGTCATTACTTGTATTTTCATTATTATTCCTGTTCACTGGGCCCAGAAATATCTCTATAATGCTGCTGTCATTTTAGGTGCAAAGGGCTCTTTCAACACAATTATCACCCATTTCCACCGGCAACTGATATTCTCTCCCCCTTCTCCTTCTTCATGGGTATAGCAAGGCAAGGAGGAGATAAGTGACCTATCCAAGGTCACAACATGTAACCAGCAGCTGGATTGCAACCCCATACTCAAGTATCAGGTTGTTGCAGACCGTAGCTACTAGGCAGCATTCCCCTCGTAATACTGCAGTTAGTTTTACTTTTATCTTGAATTACTCTAAAACCACGGGAGGTGAAACAAATATTCTCTGGGCTGTATACGCTGTTGTTGTCATTCTTTCTGTTAAATGCCTTGTGACCACAGGGACTCAAGTTTGAAGTTGTACCATCGACATTCGAAGAGAATCTGGACAAGTCTTCATTCAGTTCAGCCGTGGAGTATGCGAAGGAGACGGCAAGGATGAAAGCCACCGAAGTCGCACAGAGGTTGAAAGAGGTAGGATGCTGAAATGCCCTCGTGAACTCACCGTGAGAAGGAGCCATTATTTCTTCCTTCCAAGTTTTCTAATGAAAACTCCCATTGGTTGTACATGTACCTTAACTTAGCATAAATTTATATGTAAGTTTCAAGGGACATCAAGACCCATGTAAAAAGTAATAATAGTTGGGCGTATCCCTCCTCAGTCTTACAAAATCACACATCATCATCATGATGGTATATTTTGAAAAATATGGTAGGCTTTGCACTGAATTACATGAAAAGTTTCTAGTCAATTTTCTCTAAAGCATTTGTGGACATTTTGTTCTCTATAAAATATTGTGTTTGTTTTTTGCAGGCAAATGAACCTGATCTAGTCATCGCGGCAGACACAGTAGTAGTAAGTATATATGGGGGGGTCCAGTATATTCAGGAAAGGAATCAGTGGCTTTTTTGTGGAGTGCTTGGCACATCTCAGAAACACATTTTTGAATGAAAACAAGTTGAGGCAACGTGCCATGTGGATATGTACATGTATATTATTAAATGGAATGTTGGGGCTTACTTAACAGATTTGGTATTGTTTTACACAACTCAACAGACACTCGGAGAGCGAATCTTTGAAAAACCCAAGGACAAGAAGAATGCATTCGAGATGCTGAGTCAGTTGAGTGGCACGACCCACCAGGTCCACACGGGCATGGCACTCATTACTCGCAAAAGTGAGTCCAAGGCTATGATGAGGACCCTTGCAGTCACACCAAAGATATTTGCTTCATTTAGACTGAAAGTCCCCCGCCCATTTGTTAAGCCTTAGTGACCTGCCAAGGGTCACACAATCTGAGATTTTACTTTAAAAATCAGGAATGACATGAACATCAAGACATTTATACACTTCTATGTCCATTAGAATTGTTGACAGTTTCTTAACGACAATTTGGATGTTGCCCAGGAGTCAACAGATCAAAAGGTCATTTAAAATGCTGGAAGATTATTCAGGCTTCTACACTCTTATCAATTCAAGGCTGAGAATTTTTGTTTTTGTTTTTGTTTTATCAACTTGCATTCCTGTGGCACAGATCTTCACAGTATACCAAGTTGTTGTATTACGGCAAAACTGTGAATTTATATAACAGGTTTTGCCCTTACCCAACGTATATATTAATAAACATTGTATGCTCATTGCTTGTCTGAGAGCTTGCGAAAAAAGTCACAAGCTTACTCAGGTGGGACTCGAACCCACGACCTCCTGCTTACTAGTGCAGACGTCTTAACCACTCGACCACCGAGCTTCCCGGGGTCGGCTGGCCGGTCCGAGTCAGGTGAAGCAGCGGGTACCGCGAACTATTTTCAAGATATATTTTTGCGTTTTACAATGGAGTTGAGACCATGAGAGCCACAACCATCTGGAACGAATAACCAGCATGCTGTAGTAGCATTTGTTATCAATATGGCCGTTTCACAATAGTGTGCCATCAAGAGTTTGCAACGCGTTGGCCAATCACAATGCGCGAAATTTATCGACCCAACGCACGTTTGGAAAGGGTCGACAAATTTGGCGCGTTATGATTGGCCAACGCGTTGCAAACTCTTGGCGGCGCACTATTGTGAATTGCCCGTATTTGTTATCCTAGTCAAGCTGTGACATTTGGGGGAAAAACGACAACAGCAAATATTGAGAGTACTTTCTGGGAACAAATTCTGTCATTCTAAGGTGTGTGGCTCTAAAAACAACTCAAATTGACTGTGTTGGGATGATTTCCTGCTTCCAGTATTACATCTAAAACTGGTTATGCATTACATTTTATAGTGAGCACAGTAAGTTTTTCTCCTTTTTTTGCAGAAGGGAATTCATGTCAACCTGACAGTCCATTCATCATAACACAGTTTCATGAGACGACAGAGGTCACCTTTGGTGACCTTTCACCTGAGGTCATCCAGGGATACGTCGATACTGGAGAACCATTGTAAGTGCATGTCTCACAATTTGTCGATGTTTTCCCGAAGAGCCACACATGTTGAAAGTAGCATTTTTTTTTCAAGTTCAATTACATTTATGTTGTTAGGGGCCAGAATCTTGATAAGTGCATTTTGCTTATTCACAAAGAGATATGAGTCCTACTGCCCTTCATACATGTACAAAACATATTGACTAGAAAGGCCGAAAAGTGGGTCAAGTAAGACTTTCGTTTTCACGAAGAGCCACACATCTTTGTTACAATGTAACAGTGGGGCATGCATGAACATGTATGCACCTTCCTTATGGAAAAATACATTGCACGAAAAGTAGGAAAACGTGGAGTTTTTATTTCACGAATAGATGTGCATCTTTACTCATTAATTTTGGCTAATTAACCACCGTGTTCATTTTGGTTACTTGGTTCAGGCAAATGTCTATCTCTCAGAGAATCATTTGAGTCTTTTACTACATAAACTTGTTCCTGGTATTGGTATTTTTGTAGTTTTGAAAACCAGTTTTTCTTCAAAATCTACACATGTGGCTCTTGTGAAAACGGTTAGGAATTGATCATTTACTTTCGGTGATTATTTTCCTACTGGGAAAAGTTTTAAGAGATGACCCCTTTTATCACTTACTTTCAATCGGACTTCTCCAAAATGTTTCACACAAACTTGTCTTTCGGTTGCAACAGACTCGAGACTGGTAGAAAAACTACCTTGGCTAACTATGAGTATGCTAAAGCGTAAAGTGAACTCAACATGTTGTAAATGTTCTCCCAAATCTGGCCAAAGAGTTTTACCTTTGCAGCTCAATACTAAAAGGAAGGAAACCATTTTTAAAATGGGATCAGTGGTTAAAACTGTACTGGGCTGAGTGAATCCTCTAAAACAGCATCTGGATGGCCAATTGAGGATGAGCTCATGGGTATCCGTGGACTGAGAGCTGCTTAAGCACAAAATTTGCTTAAGCGTGAAAAAACCCTACTCAATAAATCAGGTAACCTGTATATTGTTTGGGGATTGTATGTGGGAGATTTTTGGTTAGCATGACAATCAGATAGAGTTTGAGCTGGTAACCTTTGTTTATCAAGCAAAGTTTTTTCCCGCTAAAGCAAATTGTGTGCTTAAGTAGCTCTGTGAAAGTGGCCCCTCTTGTCATCTAGATACCTCAACTGAATTGAAATAGGACTCTTCAAGCATATTTGTCTCTTTTTGTCCAAAAATAGAGGTCTGTAGCGACAAGTATTTGAAGTACATTAAATGTTTTCTTTCCAGAGACAAGGCAGGGGGTTATGGCATCCAAGAACTTGGAGGCACACTAGTCAAGGGAGTCAATGGAGACTATTTCAACGTTGTTGGTTTCCCACTTTATAATTTCTGCCGTCATCTAGCACAGTTAGTTTAATAGCCAGTTATGATAACAGAAACGGGACGGTCCATCTTTGAGGAAAGCCTTGACAGTAATGCTGAGTCAGTTGGAATAACTGATTATTCCAATTTTTATCTTTCCAGTTGATCAGATATTCAGTTTTACCAAATTCAAACAAAGGCAGAAACAAAACATAAATGTCGTTACAAACAGTTGAAAAAGAAAAACTTGCAGGAAAGGTAATTTTTGGCCTCATCTTTGGAAAAAGCATTGCTTTTAGAGTGCAAGGTGGTGAACATATTTTATTTCCTGGTTTTTTTTTATTTTTCTGATTTTCACCCCTTCAACATTTTGATTTGGAAAATAACTCTTTGACTTAGCAACAGCCTATCGAATATCTGAATGCTCGATTAAATGACACAATCTACACAACAGAGTGCAAGAACTTTTTTTCCAAATTTTCCATAAAATGGAATTGACTGGCAGTTGCTGCATATGCAGCCCCCTGCCTGCCATTATGTCGGCTCATTTTATTTATTTTTTATCATTCTTTGAAGGCACTAATATGCTACCTTCCTCTTCTTCCCTTTTTAACAATTGTGATGGACAAAATACATACAACCTAATCTTTTGTCAGGCAAATTTCCAGTTTAGCCTGTAACCCCGAATATGGATGCATAAATGTACATACATGCATACTCTTCTTACTATGCTACAAATGCTGTGGCCAAGTTTTCCTTTTTTAAAGTGTCACAGTGTAGCTGACAAACAGTAGTCAACATACCAAGGGTTTCATCACAAAATGCTATATCCTCCATTTTTTTAAAATATGAGTTAAGATCAGTGTTGTATTTGAGTGCATCACAAGTCGATCAGTCTTAAGCCACTTCACAAGCTATTCAAATGAGCTGTGACAAAAGCATTCTTTTGTCATTAATCACCCTGTTTCTTATGACTGACCTTATGAAGGGACTTGTGACTGGACTTGTGAAGGGACTTGAGAAAGGACTTGCGAGTTGCGATGAACTTACTCCAGCACTGGTTAAAATGACCTAATTGCTAAATGACACCTTGTCGGTTGAATTCCGATGTGTAGTTTGGAGATATGATAAAATGTATATAAAATGTCCTTATTTTCTTTATTTTAGCAGACAATAATCGTGCATCTCAAAATCAATAAATTGGATATATAGCATTTTGCAATGAAATTCTTCAAATTCACATGCGTAGATGATAGTCACCCAGCCATCCATATGGTTTAATTCCAAGGTAAACTCATGAACTGATGTGTTTGTAATTTTACTCTTAGAAAGAACTCAAACAAGTTCATTCTTGGGATAGACGCTAAACATCTTTAAGTGCTGGGAAAGCAATGTGCTTGTCTTTCAATGGCTGAACTTGTAGAGGGAGGAACTTTTGAAGGGAAATTTGAAATGCCAATCTCTGATAGGGTTGGTGTGCAAGGAAATTATAGACATACCTGTAGGTTGTCATTGCTTTGCATGGTTTGGGATACTTTTTGTCGAGTAAATAATACATTGTCATTTATTGATAGTGTAGCTGTTATTCATTTGCTCATTTGAACATGTAGGGAGCTACTAGTCCGCTACCCTTTTTTTAATGAAATTTGTACAGTATATTTTTATATTTAAACTACCTAAATGTAGGTATCAGAGGCCGAACTTTTCTTGAATGGGTTCATTGCTAAAGATATTTCCATATTCATAACAGTAATTCCAAAACCATATTTAAGCAGTGAGTAAAAATGTAAGAAACATGAACCATTTGCCAGCAAACTTGTTCGCAGTTAAGGAAGTAAACATCTGAAAAACAAAATCCATTAATCAATATGCTTTATTGAGAGAATCACTTCCTCATCTCCTCCACATTGTATCATGTTGATTGTGAACTTGCACGAATGTTGAAGTTCAAATAAAGTTGTCATTCGCAATCATGTTTTGTGAATATTTGATTTCTCTTTGATCCATTCTTAAATATAATGTCATTTGAGATTTCATCCTCAAATATTCGTTCTCTAAATTTCAAAGATTTGTAGGACTTTCTAACTTTTTGTTATAGGCTCCATCATTTCTTGAAGTGGTCCTGTTCAAGTTAGGGCAGGTGAGGGGTGGTTGAAGGGGTTAACATTCTTCACCAAATTCCAACAATGAATTTTCCTTTCATCTGCGCATTTCTGACAGAAATGAAAAGAAAGGACAGGAGACAGGGGTGGACATAAGTGGAACATAAATACGTATTACATGTAGCATAGCCTTCATTTCAAAATCTCTGCTTCGAGGAAACTTGCACTGACTGGAGTACTAATTAGCTTTTGATGCCAGGGACGGGAGCGAGCCAAAATTGGAAGCTCTGTTGCTGATTTTGTTTTGGTTGTTTTAACCTACTTATCTTTTTTTTGGGGGGTTAAGACCTCTCTGATACGGCATCAACGGAATTTTTTTTTTAATTTCGCCGGGGCCAAGTCCCACCTCCATCCCCAAATGTGCTTGCACACGACACGCACCCCACTCCCAAACTTCCGTTGGGCCACGCCCACGGCTAAGGGTGCGTACGTGCGCCGACGCACGTCGTTTACGTCACTGCACATTGAGGGCGCCATTTTCGAAATGGAGAAAAACGTGAACAAGACAAGTGTTACGGGTACGGGTAGAGCTGGAAAGGAAAGATTTTATCTCAAAACTCTCACCTTACAAATGACAGGGAATGTTCGAATATAAAGGAGCACGATGTGAAGGTGAGACATGTTTAACAGCTAATGAAATTTCTTCCCCTGGTGAACGCAAGCGTGTTGTTTTAATATGGTTGACTTGCCGCGTGCTTCACCATGTCCACTGTCATGACTGTACGGTGTACAATGCCTTGGCCTCGCCCCTCCAAGCTTTGGGCATGTTGGTTGCAGCATAGAGGAAGAAAAACAGTCCTTCATGGTTGCAGACATGACAGGCGTCCTTTTCAGGGATGGACATGTCGTGTGTGCTTGATGGAGATGCATGTATTCCGTAACAGGAAAGCGTGTTCTTTTGCATGTTCAAGATATTGGTCTTCCTAGCACTACCCATTTGTCTTTTTGTTCAAGACATTGTTACTGTAGGCCTAGGACCATTACTTTTAGAATTTATCAACTTAAGTTAGGGAACACTAGGACCATGTCGAGCATGTCAGCTGAATTTGTGCCCAGTCTGCCAGTTTCTGGTCACCATTGTTTTTGAATTTCAGGCCAAATATTCTATTCACCACACTGCGTCGTTCAGCTGCATGATGTACCATCATTTTATAACCTGATGAATTTGAAGTACATGTATTTCAAGGAAAAGGTTTGGTTACATGGCATCAGAAAAGTCGAGCAAAGCATCAAAGTGCACCATGTTAGGGGACTAGGCCCAACACTTTATTTTTATTACAGCCCTTGAAAATGCACCTTAATGAAAGAGTACCACATACAGATGTCACTGATTTTCCCTTGCAGTAGTTGATTAGCCATCAGAGAGTGAAACGTATCCTAAAAGGTTAAATCTAGCACTAAAACTGTTGAACCATTTACTGAGAAAACACAGAGTTTTCACTCTGTAGGGTCTGTGCACAAGATACATGTATCAAGTGATGTCTGGATAACGTTTCAAATAACCTTGTTTTCAACTTTTTTTCATCTGGTATTTTGGAATTGTTGTAAATTTCCATATTCATGAGCAAAACTATGATGTCACCCCTGGCACATGTACATATAGCCTCAATACATGGTTGCATGAGTTTGTTCAGGAACTGCAGGAATTTTTGCTGCTGTAAATTTCCATTTCTTTGGGGATCCCTTATTACAAGTACATGTACATGTAAATGTGCAATGCAATAAGGCAACAAAAGAAAATGTTTTTAAAAACTTGAACAAAAACATGTAAACTGAATAGTGTCTTCTCTGATTTACATGTAATGTTTAGCAGTGCTGTACGGTGTGACCAAAACAGTCACATTTGCACCTAAAAATAATGATGTGCGACCAGATGTTTAACTCTTATTGCCAGTGGCAACCATGATTTGTGGCCGTTAGTCGCCCACCTTGTCATTCATATTTCATGAACAATCACTGCCAGTTTTCTTCTATGTGCACCGAGCGATGTGCCTCTATGTTTTTTCTCCGTCTTACTATATACAGAGCATGAACCCACGTTAACTGCAGCGTACATGTACAATGTAGCTTCAATGTAGGTACATGTACATACTCACACGTTTAGGCATTACATGTACATGTAGGTACCCGAGCTGACTGGTTTGTGGTTGCACACTGTATAGATTGTGTATGCGGAGCTGAGACGTTTTGTGTACCAGTATTTATAATGTACTAGCAGTCTATGTGAGCCATAATTCCAGTCCAATAAACTTGTTTCAGTGTCAAACGTACTTGAAGTTTGAAACCAAAGCTTCCCTCGATCCGGTCCAGTCCCAGGTACATTATGAAATGCTCAAACGTGAGAGAACAAACATGCCTTTTCTTTTCTTTCATTTTTGTGTATAATTGGTTGCCATTTTTGATCTATTCCACAAGCACAAAATCCAAAGCCTGTCTGTCTTGCGGATAATTGACAGAATAACGTTTCTGTACGTTTTGTCAGATCTTGTACAATACATGTACGTGTTACTTGTATATTATGCAAATGTGTGTTAAGTATACACATGTACCAAAAACAACCTGGTGCCTAACTTTGTCTTTCTAGGAGCCAGTGGCTCCTCATTTTAATTCTCTCTCCATACAGCACTGCTATTCAGTCAAAATCAGTCAAGTGACCCCTTTGTCTGTCCTGTGGCAAATCAAGTGGAAGGAATTTTCAGCAGTTTATGACTGTTCCAGCAAAAGGATTTTTAATGCTTGAAAAAGTGTAGTTTTCAGCTTGTGAAACAGTTTTTAAACATTAAAGAAGAGTTTGAGATGCACAAATTGTCGAAGAATAATTCATCACATAGAAAGTAATTTATTTCACAAATATTGCAAAGACTTGAAAAATTTAACAGAAAAACATTTTCAGTTTTGATAGAAATATTTGAACATGTTGACTTTCTACAGACATTGTAGGCAAATTAAAAGAAGTGGCATCAGGATACAACATTCTTCCCGAAAGTTGAATCTTTCCCAGTCCCATATTGTTCCATGCATAATTTGTAGCAACCAACTTTCAGGATTGTAGCATTTCATCTTTTTGCTTCTTAAAAAGATTTTGCTGCTTTGAAACTAAACAGCCCTAACCGGTACCCATTTGTACAATGACCATTTTCTAGGATACATGTACATTGATATGAGGTTTTTCAATAATTGATATACAGAAATTATATTATGACTTTTCGATATATCAAATTTTCCCCATGTACATGTAAACAGTAAACTCCCAGTAACTGAGAATTGAGTAACTTGAAATCCGCTTTTCCTCAGAATATGATAGTATACATGTACATGTACAAATGTACATGTACATGTTCACCTCCATCACACAAAAGGCTCGCATTGTACATGAACCTCTGTTTTGTTCCATCAATACTAGAAAAAAAACACCAAAACAATCACGGATTTTGAAACTTTTTCATGTACCATACAGTATACTCACCAACACACTTAGTCCTTTCTGACGGGGGATACATTGTGCATATCACACAGGACACTAATAGTGTGATTGGACAGGTCACCTGATCTCTACTGCTCACCCAATGGGCAATTCCATGGGGAAGGTGGACATGACACTAACAATTCAAGTTTATCACATCGCAAAGAAACTACTACTTATGTTTCACCCGTAATGTTGCAGTTAAAGAAGCAATAAAGATTATTTCAATCGGTCGAATATTTTGCAAAATTCAGTTACAAACATTGAAGAGATTGAATGAATGAATTGGGCAAGGGTGTAGTGAACACAATCAGATGCAGTGTACAATCAGATACATGTACCGGCACAAGTCATCCAAATTACTCAAGTGTATGCTTAACTAAATTTGTATTTCCTTAATAGAAAAAATAGTGCTAGCACTTCTATTAATTCAATTTAGAGAAGCACATTGGGTCTACTTCAGTCTCCTAAGAGGAAATTTCTACGCCACCTTCCAAAATATTTCATCATCATACAAGAGTTAAGCACTTCAGCCCTGTAATGCGAGTTACTAAAGCAATAAATATTTTTCATTCTGAAGAAATCAGTTGAGGCAATTTGTTGGCAATCATAAATTTCTAAAGTTCACATCTTTATTCTTCAAGCAAGATGTTGCCAAAATAAACAGTGTCATCAGTTAAAAAAATGCCATCAAAAAGTGTAACACAAGTTGCCATGTAAGGCGAGTTAACACCATGTGACGTGAGTTACTGACTGGAAATGCAAGTTTCAACCAGTATGAGCAATGTTAGACTCTTAATTGGGCTAGGGTGTAGTGAACACAATCAAATGCAGCATACAATCAGATACACGTACATGTACATGTACTGTACAAGTAGGAGATTGGTACACTGTATGTTGTTGACTATGGTGGCATTCTATACCACATAGTATTGGTGCCCAGGATAACTACAGAGTATCTGTTATGGAGCCAGCTGGGCACAATTGGAAGTGACTGAGATACAATCTATTAGCGGTACCTTAACCCTAACCTTCCCTAACCACACAGAATTTGAACACCAGTAAAGTGTGTGAATTTGTGGCACTGGTTACTGTACCCCTAAACTGCTTGTGCTTTAACATGGGGTCAGGCATACCCAAAATAAATAGAGTCCAAAAGTTTTTGCGCAAAGTTTATGAATGGGTATGGTTCCTCGTAAATCACTCTGGAGAGTTAGGGTTAGGAAGAAAGAACATGGTGCTCCTGATACAAAAACCTGAAATTGCTAATAACAGGTGCAACTACAAGTTCACTACAAAGTTTTAGGGCAAAAAATCTAGACATTACAAAACAAAAATCTACTAAGCTAAAGAACACTCATTTTTATCATGTTACATCAAAGCTTAAAATTTCTCTTCTCTCTTTGATGGTTTTAAAAACTGTGTTCCATCTCTCTTCTCTGTCATTTTGAAGAACACGTTACAAAAGTGTTTTTATTTACATTTGTACTTGAATGTGTGGCGTACAATTTCTGGGAAAAAAAAAGATAATTTGCAAAGAAGAAATACTTGTTGGCACTCTCTACCAAGAAGCAATTTTCATTTGTATTTAAAATTGTTTTCAGTAACAACAGAAGGCAAATTTAAGCTTTCAAGGACAGTGTAGTTCTTGACTATTTCCATTATCTTACAAACTTCCGTGTTTGTTCAAAGTAAAATATTTTCATCTTTTCACACTGACAATTACATACATAATGTAAATTATCAGGGTATATCAAAGTTATGTAAATTTCAACATGACCTTCTGATTTGAGGGAGTGATGCTCTTAATTAACACATTCTTTCCTGACAGTGGAGGTTTATCAATAAAATAATTGTTCTAGAAATCTTCATTTTACTATCTGCAAAAGTGTGCACCTGTAAAAATACTTAAAAAAAGATGCAGTGCCATCAGAACAGGTTTATGCCATCAACTTGTACCTGGCTGTTTGAATGGACATAATGTAACGCAAGTTACCGTAACAAGAGTTACCAATATACATGTATATCCTCCCTGCATTTCACCAGTTCATTGTTTCTCAACTTTGATATTGTTAATTTATAAGTCATAACCCTCTATCAGTTGAAAGCACATGTTGGAATACTTTCATCAAAATTATCTAGTATGAGGAGACTTTACCAAAAGAGTCTTTCTTAGAATTGACTATGTCCTTGACTATGAGCTACGAAATTAAACAAATCAAGACTCTCAATATGTTTGTCCATTGTTTTTCTTTCTTAATTCATTTAGTTGGTCTGTGTACCCATGTTGAAAAAAAAATTGTTCCTAACAATTACAAAGATATAGGCATATTATCCAGTACCCATTACATGTATTTGTAATGCAATTTACCATGGAATTGCCCCAATGGTAGCCTGCACACTGACCGTCCAATCCCTAGCTCTTTGTGCTGGCCATAGGACTGCACAAGAAACCTGGCTTTAAATACGACTACTGTTATTGGCCCAGATGCAGTAACACAGTTCATTTTGTGATGGCACGCTGTGCTCATGCTGGTGCCAAACCACATGAAATAAAAAATTTCTACGCACAGTCTGACTCATTCACTTTTGTGCATGTATAGACCCAATCCATTAACCCTAACTACCAAGCATATCATTTGGCTTGCAGGACTCACTACTGCAAAATACTACATGTACGTACATGTATCCGTGTGTAGTAGCCTGAGCCTGAAGGACCTAGCCCTTCAAATTACTACTTCTGGCTAGGTTACTTCCTCATGTCCTCTTACAAGCAACTGCACTGTATGCTACATTTTACTACTAAGTTGTAATTTTTCAGTGTGACATAGGGTCAGGGTTAATAATTAAAGTTATGAAAACCATGTTACTGACAAGACTGCACCACTATAATCAAAGGAAGATACATAATACATGTCCATCTCAACAGTTCAGCTGAGCAGAGGAGAGTGTGAATTCTAGTGGGTAGTGATAATGGGTTCCGTGGTAATGGACTGGATTTCATTTTCAATTTCCAAGCCAGGAAAAGTCATGGAATTTTGTGCAAAATGGCAAAGTCATGGAAATTTATTGAAACCAATTTATATTTTAGACTCGGAATATTCCTAAAATTAACAAAGTGTGGACTCATGCAGAGCTACATGTACATGTAGCTGCACAAAGATCCATGCAGAAAAAAATTCATCACGCTAAAAGGAATTGACATTATGAGCCAACAGGAAAATTCTTTTCATTCTACATGTCATCCAGCCAATTTGAAAGTTCAGTATGTGCTTAAAAGACACCCTGATTGGCAGCCCAAGTGTTTCCAGGCTTGGATCTTAACCGTGGCCAAGGAGCTGAGAACAAAATCAGATGTCAGTGCTTATAATTTTGGGACGTTCTTATTTCTAGTCACATGGTTTGCCACTACATTACGCTCATAATTTTAAAGCGAAATCAGTGCAGCAATCACATGAACCCAGTCTGGAATTCAGTTCATCAGTGAATTTTCTTGCTTTCAATTTTCTCGATATTCCCAATATTTAGATTTTTGGTATTCTGATAATAAAAATTTGATTTCAGTGATATAAATTTTAAAGTAATAGCATCAACGGAGAGACCTGTGCTCCATCACCAGTATTTAATTCCATAAAGTAACTTTGCCAAAGGGTTATAATATGGTTAATATTGAATAATAATCCCATTTTTACTTTGCATTCTCAGATGTGCAGCATACATGTAGGAGTTGAAGCAAAACTGGGCAACAATGCTTTCCAGGAAATTTGTCAAACTGTTTGGGAGATGGAAACCAGCCTTGTTACCTCCACAATCAGCAACATGCTTGTTCACAAAATCAAGCATATCAAGCAGGCATCTAACTGAACAAAGACTTGACCAGAATTATGGCAACCAGCTCCCACGTGGTTCAAGAACATTGGCACATGCATCCATCGGTGTCTTTTCGCAGAGACATCATCATAGGCACAGTCGATTTCCACTTGCTTTGATTGCAGAAGGACAGCATGTTCTCCCGTGCCCTCTCAGTCATCATGGTCATGAAGCGCAATTCTCCATGCATAGAGTCCAGTCATTTCACAGCTGTTCACATCTCCTTAGGCAGAGTGTCAGAGGCAGCAGGTGGACTGCACAAAATATGAGCTTGATGAGTTCAGTTGTTGACAAGGCACCCAACAGAGTCCAACCGTACCTGAGACTGATAAGATTGGACAAGCCAACTGGTGAGAAATCAAGTACATGTACATGTATTTTGAGAATTACTTTACCTTGCAGGGCACTTTGGTTCATTTGTTTTAAAACTTTCCAGGCTTGTTTTTTTATTTGGTTTTTGTTTTGTTTTTAATGACACATGAAAGTAAACTACTAATAATAATAAGCTATTAATTCCAACGTACATATAGGTATCTCCCAGACGCTAAGAACAAACTTGACAAAGGAGGCTGGTCAATGCCTAGACTCACTCTTCCCTGTAATCTTCAAATGCAACACCAATCTAAACCTTTCAAGCTTTTACATCTTACAAAATCCACTAGAAGGATGTGGAAGAATTTGCCGAATGTGCAAGATTGAGGAAGGTACATGTAAATGTACCTCCGAGCTGTTCAAATGTTTTGTGGGACTTGGTTTTTGAAAGTTTGAAACAAAAATGTCCTTTCTGGCTCCAGTGGAGAATTTGGAGAAGATTAAACAAGGTTGCCTAGAGAGTAGAGGATGATGTTTCTGTATTCCCTTCGCCTAGGAACCTGGTTGGTCTACTGGCCATGTGCATGGGGCATCGCTCTGGCTGCAGACCCAGGCCACTTCCCCAGCCTCTACATGCTGGCCTTGTGTGGCCTAGGAGCTCTGGTGGTTAGAGGGGCAGGCTGTACCATCAACGACATGTGGGACAGAGACTTTGATAAATCGGTGAGTGTATCGGTACATGTGCAATTGATTCCTAGACTGGAAAATGGGAATTGTTGATTAGAGAAACTTGAACCTTGACTTTTCCAGGTGCTTACAAATGCATCAGAAGGTTTGGAATAATTGTGAAGGATTGGGTAAAGTAGAACCATACCAATTTTACTTGTAGCTTGATGCTTGAAAACTTGTACTTCTACATTCATGAACTTTGCAGGATTTGAGAAGAATCCTTGGAAAATTCCTGAAGGGATATGCACTCTTATTATACTTGTTATTTACTGATACCGGGCATTTTAAGTATTTGTTGAGTGCTTAGCTGTTGTAAAACTTTTTGCTGGTCTATTCTTGATGTTGTTTTATTTGAAACAAGTTCTTAATGAGTATTTTTTTGAAAAGGCGCATTTTATGTCAATTTCAAAATGACCGTAAAGGTTGAAGCATATGTTGTGCTTTACATAGTGGAATGTTACTAGTTGTCAGATAGTGTAAGCTTTCAACCTCTTGATTGCGCTGTTTTTAGTTTGACAAAATTGACAATCTCAATCCGAAAGCTGGTCTCAGCATCTGCCAATGTTGTAACAAGCTTTGCATTGATTGATTGCAGGTTGAACGAACCAGCACAAGGCCCATAGCATCAGGTGCAGTCAGTGAAAGTCAGGCGTTGGTCTTCCTAGGAGCACAGCTCAGCGTTGCGTTGGGAATATTACTCACTCTCAACCCATACAGGTATAATACAGGGGACTTAACAATTTTGTTGGCCACCAGTCACCTATAGTTCTCTCTCATTGGCTGTAATCTTTGTAGGAAAATTGCAACTGCATATGCAACGCTGATAGGGGCGTGTGCGTACTTATCCAAATTATGTTCGAAATACGGTGCAACTGAGGCACGTCACAGTAACAGTAAAGTAAAAAATGCCGATCCACGTTGGACTGTAGGAACTGATGTCAATTGAGAGAGCCATTAACTGAGACCTAAAAGTGCGAGAACCTGTATATTTGGAGAAATTTAAAATCGTGCCCCTCAACTCTTTCTTGTGATATTTTGAAGATTGTGCCTTTATTGTCAGAATTTCCTTGTTGAGTGATTTCATTTGTTTATACTCTCTCCAAACTCTCTTGTTTCCTGAGAAGTTAGCATTTGAAATCTACCTCAGTCCAGCATTGCCATAACATTGCTTCACATTTCACGTACCCCAGTATGGCGCAAGTTGCTGAAACCAAAGATTACATCATTCCCAATTTGTGAAAATACACTGTACAAATTGTTGCCATGGGTTTGGAAGCATTCAACGTCAATATTTTCTCAGTTTCCACCAATTTCCTTCATTACTTTTCTCATTGGGTAACATTTCACAGCATTTCAAATAATTTTTCAATTCTGATCATGCTATAGATTTTTCAATATTTCAGTTTTGGCTGGACACTTTGTGCATTTGATTTATGGCATACATATCGGCCACATTAAGCAACCACTTGTTTAGCATCTCAAAGATCAGTTTTGCATTTGATACCTTCTTGTGTGCCTTCTGTTTGTAAATTTCATTTTGCCTCTCTGTTTTATATATCTCCACAGTATAACTCTGGGATGCATGGCCATGATTCTCATTGTAGTTTATCCACTCATGAAGAGGTTTACCCACTGGCCACAGATCTTTCTTGGTAAGTTCAACAATTTTCTGAGCTTTTATCAGCATTTAAACACCAGCATCAACACATTCAGCATATTCAAGGAACTGCATAAGACATGTACATGTATGTACGCGGAGATGTTAGTAAACTATTTGTTAACGGCATTTTGGGTCAGTTTGCTCATGCTGTCAGGATGACAAGATTCAGAGGCCACGTACACGTACATCTTGTGTTTTGAGCTGTGTCTGTAGACACTAGTTGACTTTAGTGGGACTGGTTCTCTTGGCTCTGGGAATACAGGGCTGCAAGAGTTTAGTGTACCATAGAAAGACAGGTGGATCAAGCATTGGTCAGCAAAGCACAACAAGATGCCACAAGCCAAGGAATAGCATCCCTAAGGAAGTAGAGTGCGATACCAGTGTTGTAGGTCTCGAGACCTTTTTTTGCAGTCTCGGTCTCGCCCTGTCAAAGTGTCGGTTTTGGGAGGGCCGGTCTTGGTCTCGAAAGCGCCAGTCATAGTCTTGGTCTCGGTCTCGCATGCCTCGGTCTCGGTCTTGGTCTCGGACATCAAGGTCTCGCATATAACACTGGCCGGCAGATATTCATGGGTTATACCCACATGTACTTTGACTTCCTACTCAAGGATCTTATTGGCTGACTCCCTGCTCTACAATAACATATACTCTACCAAAGGCAGCAAGATTTTATGTCCTTTTACAGCATCTGGGAGGGGTAGGTTTAAGACATGGTGTAGTTACTGATAAGAAATGATGTGACCTAACCAGGTCAGTGCCAAATAGTTGACAGTGACACTTCAACCATCGTTTACTAATGTGCATTTTATCTTATTCAGTCAGGTCATGGTTGATCATATTCCTGTATTGATTTTGCTCATTTCCTGTATTGTGTTTCTTTTGACGCTGTGTAATTTGTTGCCTGCGCTGTAATGAACTTTTATTCCATCCTTCTTTGTTTCAGGTGTAACAACCAACTTCAGTGCTTTGATCGGCTATGCAGCTGTCCATGGGTCATGTGACTGGAGTATCGTACTGCCGCTGTATGTTTCCTGTATAGCATGGACCATCGTCTATGATACCATCTATGGACACCAAGTAAGTCATGTGAAAACATCCTCTGCTTCAGTTGTCTGTTTTTATGTACATGCAATGGAGGAAGATGTCTGAGAGTACAAAATCTGATTTCATGAGACACTCCCACCTGCAAAGGTGTTGAAGGAAGTTCTTAAGAGACCTTGGCAAATGCATTTAATCAGGCAAGTGTTCTGAGCCTCGGAATGTTGGATATAGAGTACCGAAGTGAATACGTCACGCGCACAATTAGTGTGTAAAAAGGCATTAGCGCAAGAATCAGCATGTTAACCTACACGCGCGTATAGTCCATTGGTTTGCACTGCACTTTCTGGTTCACAGTGAAGTCACACTCCTTTACTCTATTTGATCTGAAATAATTGCTGGAATTTCCTACCTTTAAATTTGTTTGATCAAATCTTACTTTCACTGAGATGCCCCTTTTTCTTTGTTACTTATTACACTGAATTCTGACTCTAAACAAAGCAGTCTGGCAACCATTTAGTTGGCAAATTTTGCGATGTCAGTTTCTACACTTGGTTGCAAACTAAAGTACTTGCTTCCTAAATACAACTGTTTTTTCCAAGTCTTGGCATTGTCTCCATCTACAGTATCATCTTAAGAGTGTCCATTATCCATTTCAAGCTATTATTCTGAGAACCAAAATGTTGCTTCTTAATCCTACTACAGAGAAGGGAGCTGCATTGAGGGGGAGTGTTTCAAATTACGGAAATTAAAGCTTGAAGCCCAAGACAGAGGCGAAGATGAGATATGGGAAAATCTCAGCATGATGTGTGAACTCTGCTCTACACATTATTATTGGCTTTGACTGGGTTCTTGTAAGCCACTCAGAACCCTCTGTAATACATTCACAGAACAGAACTTGCTTTAACCATCTCCTCTATGCAAAATATATCTTGAAATTAACATTAGATTTTCTTTTCCCCTAAAAGCTACTCGGGGCACGTATTTCCCTGCAAATTCTTCAACCTTACAATTTATTTAGGATGCCCTTAGGGAGGCACACCTCTCTTTAGACGTCAGTATTTTCATTCTCTTCCCTGTTTTTTTTCTATCTGCCTGGTAAAAATTGTGCTGTGTGTCCATACATCGACAGGTTCACATACAAACACATTGACACATCAGCTGCAGAAATGAAACAAGAATTGTTAAACATGTGTACACATCCCCTGTGATGCAAATAAGGAAATGTGTGTGTTCACACATCAGCTGGCATCAACCAGTTATTAAAAGCTTCTTGTATCCACTCCTGTTAATGTACAGGACAAGAAGGATGACTTGGCCCTTGGCCTTGGATCTGCCTCCATCGTCATGGGAGATAACACCAGGTATTGGCTGACAGGCTTTGGTGCTGCCATGGTAGCTGGTCTGGTGCTGGTGGGTGCAACGGCAGAGCAGACTGCAGCGTACTACCTGGCTGTTGCTTTGACGGCTGCCCACATTGGCAACCAGGTGAGGAGCTGTTTGTAGATTACTGATGGTAACCTTTCATACATACTGTGTACACTTCCAAAATATACAGAAACCGCCACGTTGATTTTTTCAACATTTACTCACATTTCCACTTTACTCAGCCATTATGTAAAAACGGCCTCAGCGACTTATTCCTGATTACGATGTACTGGGTCACATTTGCTCGTCTGCTCTCAGTTTACTAATATGATCACCAAAACTCAATGGCTTGTTTCCAGTTGCTTTCTCTTGTTTACCGGAGTAGTTGCTTTAGTATTAGCTTCCCTTCTTGGCAAAGTAGAAACATAGTTTTACCTTGTGATATTCTGAGCTCCTAAAAATTAACATAGTTTTGCACTTTGAGTGTTCTGATTGGAAGATGGGGCACTTCCGAGGGTTTATGTTGTTATATTTTAGTAATCAAAATTTAAAACTTAAATGACAGTCATGTCTTTCTGATCAAACAGGTGTGGACAGTAGACATCAACAACCCTCGGGATTGCTGGAGCAAGTTCCGCTCCAACAACAGACTGGGCGCCATCATCTTTGCTGGAATCATTGCTGGGACTCTGGCAAAGGCCTCGACCACTATGCCAGGCAGTGCAGCAGAATCCGACGAGAAAAAACAGTGTGCCGAAAATCGATTGGACGAGTTGAAGAGGGGCATTTGAATGAACTGTTTGAGGGACAACTGCATTTTGAATCTGTTTGACTCCTTGTCAAGTTGCTTAGAGTTGCCTATTTTGCATCACCTTGATGTCAATTGGGTGCTTAAATTGAAATTGGCCAGCCCATAGTAGATACAAAATGTTATAAATTATATTAAGTTTGTACAGCAAAAGCCCTTCTGAAAGGGGAGGGATATGTGATATCCCAACCCTGTCAAAAAACCTGTAAGCAGCCACTTGCAAGAGCATGTCAATTCTAACTTTAAATTTCTGAAGACAAGAAAGAAATGTTACCCTAAAAAGGGACAGTTCTTTAAATTTTATCGAATATACCTTCCAAAGTTTTATAGTTTG